CGTCTCTTGACAAAACCCAGACCGGCTACATTGTATTTCGACAATGTGTATCATCTTCAACAAAGTCATTTGTGATTCATTAAAATAGGTTAATAAAGGATCTCGTTTTTGGTGGTAATTCAACTGGCTTAATATCCACAACCTCAGTAGGTAGATCTACACAACACTGTACTTGGAGTCCAGGAGCGTTGTCCAACAGAGCAAACGACATCGCATTTAGAAGCAACCAGCGATGAACAATGAACGCGGGTTGTGCGTTGCTTTCGAAAACGAGATTAAGAAGCTCTTTAATCTGCAGTAAACTTCATGGAAGCGTTGCTGCAACTGATAGGAAAATTAAATATGTGATGAAGCTGAGTAACAAACAGAGAAGCTGTAGGTGACATGTTTTTGCCATGGGCATTGCGAACAGAACACAGTGGTCAATCCGGGAGTTGTAGAGAAAAATGTAATTTCTGTTAGCTAGTGAATGAGTTCAATTTTAATCCTTCTATTCAGGTGAAATACTGTCAACTCTTTCATATGTCCTTCTACCATTGTTAATTCTCTTATCAAGTACCAAAAATATGTAGGCAAAGACATTTGACTTAAAGGAATTGTTGTTATTCGAGGGAACCTCTGCCTCAATAGAATTTACTCACCAGACCACTGAGAGCCTAGACTAAACCCACTCATGCAATGATTCATTCCCATCTTCACACCTGAGCATAGTGACCGATTTGTTGATAATTGCAAATTTACACTGAACCAATCGCCCTTCTCAAATCTACTCAAATGACCAACTAAGTATATGGTGCCGGGATCATTCTGAAACATTAACGTGAATATAGCTTCCCTAACGTGTTGGTTTTTCGGGAGTCGCGTACCGACGCAAACTATGAGGTGCACTGAAAACTGTTTATGTTATTCTGTCATAGCCCGAACAACTGAATGTGTGTGGGAGGGTGGGGGTGTAAGACCAGTGGGTCTAGTATGGACAGAGGANTGTTGTTATTCGAGGGAACCTCTGCCTCAATAGAATTTACTCACCAGACCACTGAGAGCCTAGACTAAACCCACTCATGCAACGATTTATCCCGACATTCATTCCTGCGTGCAAATGTATAGAGTATTATTGAATGCGTTGGCATAGTGCTCATCCTTGTATTTCCCGACAGAGTACTTTTCAACATGCGTTTTTTATTCATTGCATCACTGTTGATATCTCATTGAGTGCATTGATAATACTGACTATTTCTTTCGAAATTCACCAATTACGCTGCTCTGTAAATGGTTTCTGTTTGTTAAATTTTCGACCTTTGTGCATCTATTAATCATAGTCTGCTATTAACTCGGCAACCGCAAATCTGTTCCGTCAAAATATATCAATTCCTCAACCGCTACGATCGATTTTGACATTGCCTACTCAAATAATGATAAGTAGCCAAACTCTAACTGTAAATTAATATTTCATTCATGTGAAACCTTTGACCCTAGCTAGCTGTCCATAACCAACGCTCCCGAAAGCACACACTACTGCCCTTTCCACTGTTTCTTGTTTCCAGACCATGTTCCTATTTTACAAGTACCACAACTCGTTCGAATTGGTGATCACCAAGCGGACGATCAGTGTGACATGAAGCGTACGAAATTGAATATCCGGCATGCAAACGTGGAAAATCCAGTGCACCAGAAGCATATCAACGAACGTCGCCAGTTACGTACCGTGAATCAAACAGAGAATACTTGAGAGGAAGAAAGTGGAAATATCTACACATCTTTTGAATTGATTTATTTTGTTCTTGGCCTTTATTTGAATATGAATTCTTCCCCCCACCCCAAATCATCGCCCTTTTCCCTCCCCACCCTCTATTCGATCCTTACTGGACAAAGGCCATCGTATTGATTCACCTGTTTGGTTTGTTCTTTGTCAAACCTGTGACCTGTTACCTGTTTTAGGTAAACGACCATGACAAGATATTATGTACCGATCAAGGGTGCACAACCTATACATTCCACACACCGTTCAGCACGCCGCTGTTTGAGCGATGAAAACGTGATGATTTTAATCAGTCTATATTCAACATCCAAGTTACTACTGCAACTCAATGGTTAGAATTTGTTCGACCGGAGGATTTAAAAACACCGGTGCTCATGTTTATATAAAAGTACACACAGTGAATCAGCACACAATGTCATATGAAGATACTTGGTTGTTTCATTCAAATGAATATAATTTTAACGAAAGCAAGACATCGATAGAATGTATCCGTATTTCACATACACACATACACACACACACAAAAGCCAAAAGTGCTCGCATACACCTGTCAGCATGTGAATCCGTTCCGTTCATCGTATACCTTCGAACCGCTGACGCGTGGTAACAAACGCGATTGGTACATGCTGTTGTGGACAATCATGTCACTTTCTACTCGGTTAATTTTTCTCTTTTCGATCAGTCCATATTCCGATCTCGAATATATTCAATTTGTGTTCATACACTTGTGTTCGAATCTTTTTAAAATCGTCCAATATGATCATTTATGGAAACGGTTGCAGCCCAAACGAGCAATTTATTTGCTTGCTTCAGCATAGGTGATAGAGTTGTGATTCAATCATTCCATTACGTTAGTCTAAAATCCGACATATATTACGATAATTCGCAAAGGGCCTCAAACATTACAAATAAGGCACATTTGACTATCCATACTGATTTATTCAAGCAGATGGGATAGAAAAACACCAATCTACCAGTTAATGTATTGCAGCCACGTTTCAACTATTCCAGTCAAATTAGGTTTGCTCCGATCAGCTGCTGCATGTGAGGATATTGACTGACCCATGTGACTGATCAGCGTGGGCCACCAAAACAGAAAATCGATTGAGTACCACATGACCCCGCACTCAACACTCGGGCGTTCATTGACTTCCCGGTACCAAACCAGCCCGGACGGTGGTTATGGGCCCTAAAGATGAGTGGAAACTTAGTTGATTTCATGAGCTGAGGATTATGCACAAATGCGAAGATTGGATGAGGGTCTGTCCAAGACAAAGAAACCATCGCGTCAGACCGACTTGCTTAAGGTGCGAATAATAAAGACGACAGTGCACAGACCAACAGAACAGCAAGCAACAGATAAACAACTGAGTCGGAAAGTCTAAGCACTGATAAGTACCAGAGACAGTATGAAAAATGTAGATCAGAATTATGTTTACCGCTAGTCACATTTTACTTGGTATTGATGGGTAATACCATGGGGTTTTATTCGGCTGCTACTTCCCTGTTTGGGACGAAAAGGGTTCATCCAGACCTAGACGAGATAAGCCTTATTCATCCGTCTGTTAGACCCATTGTTGGTTTGTTTTAGCTGTGACTGTCTATGTTAGATTGCTGTGGCAAACGACTTGCGGAAATAAAACCTATCCGAAAATAATCATTTTGTCGAGTTGCAATCAAACAAGCATTGAATGAGCTGGACTAACTGTATGATTATGTGCAAATTATCAGGTATAGGGAATTCGACATTTGTCTTCCTACCAGAATCTATCTGTCAGTCTGGGCAACATTGTAATGTAACCTAATGTCTGGTAATGGGTTTTCATTTAGCCCTTAGTGCCAATGGTAAGCTTTTATTAGTCAATATTTTAAAATACCAACAGTTAGAGTTGATTGCATTTGGCATGCCGCAAGCCGTAAAATTCGAGCGTAAAATAGGCCGCTTATTAGGTTTCAGTTTCAGTTTTTACAACCATCAGTCATGCGTTCTCGTTCGTCCATTTTGGTTGCTATCTTTGGACTGCCCATTTGGATGACAAAGTCGAGATGGCTTTGGAAATTTGAAATCCTAGTCAAAGATGGAAGCATAAAATTGTAGTCGGCTATAGTTGTAAATATATTGAGAAGATGCTCGAGTGCCATGGTTTGTGACACTCAGCCATATCACGTGGCATCTCTAAATATCGTTTACCCTGATCCCGAACTACTCATCCACGAAGCCTAACGCAACATGCATGACCGAATCGCCTGGTCAGGGTATTCATTTCTTCTTGTTGGGTTTTAGTTTGACCACCCATAATTGTTCCACTCATTATCTGTCTCGTCAAACGTCACGCGCCGTGGCAATCCATGTGGTGACATGCGCAACACGCTCCAGTCCAACGATCCCCGCCATTAGCTAAAACTCTGTGCTTAACCTCAGCATTGTTTGTCCGTTTTTCCCACCAAACTCGTAAGATGTGATTTAGACAGTAGCGTTATAACACCTATAGTCTATCTTTATCCTGTCCTCGCATTCGCCAAGTGTGTGTCGTATAGCATCACCGGCCGAATTACTGCAACAAGTACTTGTCCTCCCACAGAGGGTGAGTGTCGCGACGGCGCCACAGATTTCTTAATTTCGCAAATGCCAATCAAGTCTTCTGTATGCATATCGATGTTTCACACGTGAGGATTTCTCCGGGTGAGATATACCTCCACCAAAAAGAAAATTTCGTCTACTTCCTCTACTACATCTCCAGTCAGGGTGGGGTTGGGGGCTGGATTAACCCAAACTCGCAACAAAATTTTACTTTTTGAAAGTGCAAAACGCATACCGGACAAGGCTACAGTAACACTCAAACTATCCAGACATGCTTGCAACTTGCCTGGATATTCACTTAGTAACCCAATGTCGTCTGCATACTCTAGGTCAGACAATCCGCCACCCGGAAGTAAATCGATGCAACTATTATTGCATGAGCACAGAGTTGCTCCAATGACCAAATCAGTAACGGAATAAAGGAGAAAAGGAGAGAGCGTAACTGTGACGAACACCACTTTCCGTTTTGAACTCAGGCAAAAAAGTGCCGTAAGCTCAATCTCAGCTTCGGCTATTAGTATAAAAGGATGGCAATATTGAAATAAACTTCTCGGGCACACCCTTCAGAGATAGGCAGCGCCAGAGTAAAGAGCAAACGATATAGCCAAATACCGCTTTCAAATCGAATCAAAGATGAATGGTAGGTCTATGAAAATAACGTCGGTGATTTAGAATTTGGCGAACAGTAAAAATTTAGGCTATAGAACATCAAACGGGTTTTAAACCAGCCTACTTTTCATACCTGTAATTTCTTTAAAGTACCAGAAGAACAGGCATCACAAAACTGATGTTGCAAAGCTTGGGCAAGAAATCAGGTGTGGCGTTGGCATGATGCACCACTAGTTGATTGAAGAAGGTTTAAATTATGTGCCTGTATCGTCAAATCACTTAACCCATTTCGTACAGCTTCAGTGCTTCCGTATAACATGCGATACCCCTGTGAGTAAAAATCCGAAATGTAACACAACCGGTACATTGTTTTTATTCACAAGCCTTGAAATAAATCAAAAAGTGATATCACAAAAAGCAAAAGCTTACCGTTTCGTATATCCACTCAAAGTGAATTCCTCTATTGAGATGTGGATACACTGACAGTTCGAGAATAATAAACACTGTTCACAAATTACCCCCATTAGCACACCGTTTCCCAACTGGATATACACAAAACCGGTAATTCTTGCCCCTCGCTCGCGGCAGTTATGTCAAATATTGCAGTGTTAATAAACTGATCATAGTTAGGGTGTGGTTTTGTGAACGGTATTTATTATCCTCGGCATGTTTATCTATCCACTTCTCACGAACAGAGGTCATTTGTGAATGCAAACTAATGTACCGTTTGTGTTACATTTGAGATTTCTACTCGCAGAAGTATTGCGTGTTATACGGAAACACTGAAGCTGTATGAAACGTTCCATATGGCTGAACAAAATGGGCACATTGTTTAAATCTTCTCCAGTCAAAATTTCATGCAGCGTGTGACTTCCTCAGCTTCTTAATTCCTATCAAAGTTTTGCAACATCAACATTTGTAGAAAATACCTCAACATACGTTGATTTCAGAATATTCCGATACGCCTGGTGCGGCGTGAATAAAGTTTGTGCATCGAGACTAAAGGATTGCAGGTTTTGGCTAAAGCTTGATGGGAAAAGGTGTAGAAGAACAGGCATAACAAAATTGTGTTCCATAAGAAAGGCTGGCGGTAGATGAACTCAGTCGCCAGCTTCTGGTATCACATGTTCCTCAGTCCACATAGAGATCATCAGAGAACAAGCTCAACCGACGACCGATGGCTGACTGTCGGTCGGAGCATGATTGGGCTATACAGTAATACTAATACTACTACTACTAATAATAATATAACAACAATGATCGACAGATATTCATTTGGGATGTTCGCATCCCAGAAGCTTCTTTTTTTCTCTATACTGACGCTGGCCAGCTGCTTGATCTACACCCTGTGCTATATTTTTGTGGTTTTTTATCAACCATTCCCATCATGCGTTCGTTCGGATGTTAGAAACAGCATCCTTTTCAAAGAGAAACAGCGCACCGCATGCTCTATGAACTATTATTTTGGAACTGATAAAGGTGCCGTGGAAAATGGGTAGTTTGCTTTCTTTACTCTACCTTGTCGTAAGTTTATTATAAAACACCATGTTTTTCCCAAACGTCGAATTTGATGGCATAAATTTGGTCTATATGTAGTCGTTTATATTTGGGTAACAGCATATGAACATTGACGGAATGAACTGTAAGCGATCTCAATTTAGTTCCGGAATTATTTGGCTGCGTCTCACCTGGCGCTTACTCCAGAATAAAAAAGTTTATTTTATTTATTTATCACAGGTGTTGATAATCGAACATGGCATTAATTCACTCATTCACTAAC